CGTCTCGCTTCACTTGAGCCAGCCATAGTTGTCGTCGGCCAGGGCTCGCTGGGAAGCGGAACATTCGCACCCCCTTTCTGTTGTGGTTAGTGCAGAGCGGTACGCAGCATCCAGGCATTCTAAGGCTTCACCGGCAGCGTTTAACACGCTACCGCAACGTTCGACGCCGTATTATTGAGAACTAAACGCAACCGGGCGTAGACGCAGTGCGGGCACCAAGATAGGGCGACAGCGCGGCGTTGCTGTCTGGCACCATTGTGTTTTGGCGGGCGGCGGTGCGTTGGCGGCATGTAGTGGGTCAAAGGCTGACATCACCCTAAAAACGGCCGTTCATGTAGGCTCCCTAGACCTTTCGCAGTTGCAGCGCCCTTTGGTCGTTTTCGTCGGTAAACAAAATAAAAAACATTTTTTTCACGTATACAAAGCAAAACAATAACGTATAAATTATCTTTTCACGAATTATTTAGAAATCCACTTTCAATGTATTAACCGTCTATTTTTTTGACAAAGGAGCAAGCGCTGACTTGATAGTAGCCGCTCAAAAGCCAGCAAGGTTCCGTTCCAGATCCATTGCAAGCATTCACTGTGTGTTGTTTGCGCTTCTGACGCGTGTGTGATGGCGGCATTTTTATTTTTCACCGTTGAAACTGTGTTTTCGCGGCTTGCGCTGGGCAGGTGACGGTGAAGCTGCAGCACTCGCAAGAAAGCGTGCCATCTCCGGAGGCAGCCATCTTGAAATGAGCAAAGTTGCTGCACGTACGAGAGAGGGCACGCGCGTTGTCCCCCTTCCGCTTGCAAAAACGGCAGCGACGCACCGCGCTCCGCTTAGGCTGCTCGTAAGAGGACCGTATCCCCCGCTCCGATAACCCGCTTAAGGCCTTAGCGGAGGGCGCATGCGCACTCGCGTTCCCGCTCCGCTTAGCTGCTAAGCGGAGCATAAAAACGTCAAACTAAAAACCTCTAATACCAGTGGACACGGACTCTGCACTGTACTTTTGTAACAAACAGTCTCTTTTGGCGAATGCGTTATCGCATACGCAAGTCGCACCCTCACAGCAGCTGAGAAAAACTACACCATCACCGAGCAGGCGTGTCTCGCTGTTGTCTGGGCCATTCAGAAGTTTTGACCTTATATCCACGGCCGCCACCTAACGATCATCACTGACCGCCACGCTTTGTGCTGGTTGTCGACGTTAAAAGAATTTGTCTGGACGTCTGAGTCACTGGATCCTTCCTCTTCAAGAATACGACTTCGATGTTGCCTATGAATCCGGCAAAAAACACAATGGCGCATATGTCGTTAGCAGCTGTCTTTTAGCATCCTTGTGTGACATAACTGGCTTGTGACCACCGGTGAGCGACCCCCGTTCACGCATCTTCATCAGTTCATTCACTCGGCGCTGTATATTTTCCTCCTGCCTTCATAAACGAGACGTTTGCATCCCACCAACGCAGCGACGCTTACTGCCACTCTATGTTGCAGTGCCTTCGTCTTGTCATTCCAACGCCCACGCCCGTCAATAGCTGCGGAATTTCAAGACTGAAAGCTGAATCTTTTATCACTTTATCTTCCACTCTGAATGACATTGCTGGGTTCCCGTCGCTCCTCGTTCCCTAAGGGAGCAGATTGTGGAAGCGTTTCTTGATGGCCACAAGGCTGGTCATCTCGGTTTTCACAAAACCTATGAACGCATCCGCAGTCATTTTTTCTGGCCTGGACTTTCCACCTGCGTAGCCCGATATGTTGCATCATGCTCGCTCTGCCAGTGATTTCCTTCATCTCTAGCCAGACTCCTGCAACCTCTCCCGTGTCCTGATGCTCCCTTTGAAGTCACTGGGATTACACTCTACAGATCACTACCAATATCTGCTAGCAGTAAGCACTGGATTGTCACAGCAGTTGACCACTTGACAAGGGATGCTAAAACAGCTGCACTCTCTTCCAGATCGGCAGAGGACATTGCCACTTTCTTTCCAGTGTCAATCATTCCAAGAAATGACGTGCGACGCATTCTTTCGAGCAACCGCGACAAGGTGTTTCTTTTGAAACTACTAGAACACATTTTCCACGCATGTAAGACCATTCATAAGATGACTTCCAGCTACCATCCCCAGACTAACGGCCTTACAGAGCGCTTAAATCGAACTCAGTCCAATATGATACCTATGTACATCAACGCCGACAACACCAACTGGGTACCATCTTGCCATTCCTGACCTTTGCATACAATACCGCTATGCAGCGCACCCATGGGCTATTCCCCATTCTTTCTCACCTATGGCCGTCAACCAACATCTTCGTTCGACGTATCCTTTTTAGACGTCTGTGTGAACTCGTCGGCTACATCAAGTGTGCACTTAATCTCTTGCCTGGCCGCATGACGCCGACGCACCCGCCTCAGTACAGAGGCAAGCCAACAAGAGCGGATTACTCGGTTACGATGATGTGCACTGCGTCGTTCACTTCAATACTGGAGACGATGTATTGTTGTGGACCCCAACACGAGTTCCTGGCCTGTGTTTCTGACCATGACAGCATAGCATCTTTCCTTCACGCTAAAACTGAGCTGACCTAAAGCAATATCACTTTATCCGTGTGATAAGTTTCATTCACATTTCAACAGCCCCTTTGCTATAGTCGAGCTGACGTCTCCTGTTAACTATCGAGTAACGCTCATTGTCACGCCTTCCGGCGGCCGTTTTCGTGACACGGAGGTTGCTCATGTGTCGCCCTTAAAACCATTCGTGCAATGTACACCACGGTCATAAACAATGGCCAGGTTGACCACTTCCGCGTGAGGGGGAAATTAGTGTAAGCGCAATATTCACAGCATTTGACCATCTTCTTCATCTTTGTTTATCATCGTCATCACAATGAACGTCTTCTTCGTTCGAAGCGTTGATCGGGTGATTCTGCCTAATAAATTCCGTCGCGACCACAACGCAGCTACTGTATTGCAAGACAACGACAAGTAGCATCACACCACTTCATTAAAATCGTCATACATAGTGAGTAGTGGTGTGTGCATGCAGTAAGGCTTTACCCCAATCCTTTCTGCAATACCTCGCCAATCATGAATAATGCTGATGAACATGCCCAACAGAAGTATTGTTGTTGAAGTGTGTCACCACAAAGAAAGCTTTCTAGTTTTAAGGAATTGGGCACATGCTTGTGCAAGACGATATATTTGCTGCGATTTGCCGATACAAAATTGGGTTGGGTGGCCCTTAAGCTTTGCCCTTAAGAGTTGAACGCGATATCTTGTCCCTATCATACTTCAACCCCTTAGTGTATGGTTTCTATTGCATGATATTACTCGAGAAATTTAAACTATGGATTACCACGAAGTAATCCATTACATTAAAGGTAGCTTGTGTCAGTGAATCTCCAGCACTGTTTGCAATGGGTAGCGTGCTTTAAACCACAGGAAACTATGTGCATGAAATCTTTTCTAACTTCCTATGCAACCCCTACGTGGCCTTATAGGTCAAGCCACAGTAACATCTGTGCCTTTTGTGGTGCGTGGCCGGCTTCAAACCGTTAAGTCATTACGAAAATCACGTGTTCTGGTTCCCAAAGTAGGCTTGTACCACGCATTATTACATGTTTTATTGCGATGCACATATACAGGACGCATGTCTAAGGCATGAAGGTTACTTTCACTGAATTTCTAAGCAGCGAAAGTTATTTTCACAGTGTTTCCAAATAGACTTGGGGCTGTGTGGCTAGAACGCCTGCTTGCTACCCAAACAACCCGGCACGATCCTCACTTAAGACCCGGCATTTTTTATTGTTATTTTATTTCTATCTTTCCCGACTTTTCAGTCACGTGCAAGATCATGATTTTTCGTTCGCAACCAATGACACCGACACCAATGCAAAGTTTCTGTGAATAATTTCGTTGAGATCAGTTGGAAGCAGACACTATGTCCTTTATATTGGCAGGCTCGGTTGTTTCATCTTCTCGTAATGTGCTGAAGCAGCTCACATTGAAAGGTCCCTTCCGAAACTGACGAGATTTCTTTTCCCGAAAATAATATTTGCTGACTGCTTAGGAAAGCGCATGAATATCAATACTTTTGCCTTCATCACACGAGTCATTTCGTTCAGTAACGACGCAAAACAAGGATCATTGTATTTTAATTTAAAATGGTATATCCGAATAAAACTGCAAATATGAATGGCGCTCTTTTTTTTTTCTTTGAGTACATTTTCTCGGTCTCTTGACAGACCCCCCAGTGCACCGCTGCAGGTATGGTCAGATAAAGTTGATTTTGTCGGACCAGAGCTATCCCGACACGGTCATCACTCGTCCAATGATTACAACCCTTGCTTCTAAACGTAATAAACTGAACGGACGACGATGCGCTACAATATGCAAACGTGTAGTAGAAGCCATTCACAGCTGCGAGTGTCCTAGTCGCGTGGCAGCCGTGTTCACAGACAGTCGCTTTTGGCCAATCCCCCAGCGTGGGTGTGTGCCACAGTTTTCAGGCACTCCCTTCCTTTCTTCCAGTCGCTTTTGTCTTCTCTACAGGATGTCTACTTCATCTAGTGTCGCTCGACCTGCCATTATGTACACCGCGAAATCTAGCAGCGAGACAAAGCAGTCGCTTTTCGAACGTTTCCAATAACATCGGACGTGCTAAAGGTGAAGGAGCAAAACGAGCCCAAGGCTAAGGGCAACTTTTTTAGGACACAAGTCGAGATAAGTGTCTAGACTAGTGCCCGAAAAGGGTGTTCAATATACAGACTTCGGCGACACGTGTGATGCAAAATGCCGCGCAGGGCACTAAGCGAAACTGACGATAACGTCAGTACGCGGCCAGCGAACGCGCACCGCGGACGAGTCGGCAGTAATTTTTTAGTTCGTCGGATATGCCTAGGCCTAATCTGTGGCTCCTCCTAGGCAAGATGCCGATGGCGTGTGCCAATCGAGCGCATCCAAGCTGGCCTACCACCACAGCATCGGCAAGCGCAGAATTATTCGTCCACTCACCCAGAGGTGCGGTGTCACACATCCATCGACTGTGTTGCAAACTAATTCCTTGCCATTATAGCTTGGAGAGCAGTATGAGGAGGAGGAGGCCGCCGTCGACGAGCTTTGTGTTTTCTTCGTGTATTTAATAACGAAAGTCATCTGTTGAGCACTGCGCCACTTTATACCTTCATTTGTTTTATTTTCTCTTACTTACAAAAAAAATCTGATTTTTGGCAAGCGGCGGTTCGGCGAAATTGTGTGGTTGCTAGGAGCTAGGACACTATGGTCGCAGTTATGGTGGCTATCATAGTCGCAATCAACGCCTCCTAGATTTCTTGTGCCTGCCGGATTATCCGCAATTGCTTAGGAAGCAGCGGTCGTCCGAACTATGGTAGTGGCGCTACTCAAGTAGGAATGTCTTCAAATAGGTTTTCACCTTTTGGTAGCTTATATGCAACAAAATCAACGTTAAAAAGTTGTAAAAACGCTTAAACGTAATTATAATTAACCCTACTTAAGTGACGCTGTCAATCAACAAGCAACTTTTTTATTACAAGGCATATTTTGAAATTAGTAGCAAACGCCAAAATTGCCACTCTCAAAAGGTGAGTACAAAGACCCTCACCCCTACGTAGGCAGCGCTGCCACAGTAGACCGGCGTTTCGCACTAATCCGGCAGGCAAAGGAAATCTAGGAGGCGTTATCGCAGTATAGTTACAGTCAACGGTCCTCTAGGAATATGCCTGCCGCATGAGAAAAAAAAAACTGAAAAGACCCTTTCTTTCCTTTATTTTGAAAATGGTCTCGGTCGCTAGCGTCACCTGTGGCGGACGGTGCAACAACGCAACACTTTGCATAGCCTCTGAAACAGTTGTGCACAGTTGCAGATCTCAAACAACTCTCGACTGACGCGCCTCTATAGGCCGCAGATGAAGAACGCTTAGCTGGTACCGCCCAAGGAGGATTAAAGAAGAATTGCTGGAGTGGAAGCTCCCGAATATGCCTTGCCAGCAGAAGTGAAGCCACCTTTTGCCATTGCCAAGATGGCGGAAACATGCTCTTTTCTGATAGTCCGCACTTAAAGATCAATGGTGCAATTATATACAAATTCCAAATCCGGACGGAGGCGGTCTGTCGGTGACGTCAAAAAATGGGCGGTCCGCAGCGGTCGCGAAGACGAAGGGAAGTGAACAGCCAATGAGCGAAATGAAGCCTCGCGTCATCATTTTGACGTGGACTTGGGGACCGTATAGCAAAGTGAAAAGTGTTTGTAACGTGTTGAAAAATGTTTAACTACTATTAATCAATATCAAATTGCGTTCGCACAAGTTTTCAAACGTTTATTAAGGAATACGGCACAATATAAACGTATTTTTCTTGTTATTGTTATGAAATAACGCTAAATTTAGCGAGACGGTACGTGGTGACGCTAAGTACAACCTCGTTTCAAGCAGTTACTGTTTTCATATCTCCTCCACTATACAAACCTAAACGGCGCAACTTTCGAAGTTGTTGGCTCAGTCGAGCGCAATCGTGGCGGAGGTCAACTGTACCAGTAGTCAACAGCAGCAGCGGCTCATCGGCGTTATCCGAGGCTCAGCGCGCGCTGGTGCTCGCCTTTATGGACGAACATCCCCAGCTCGTGGCGAATGCCATCGAGCTGCGGCACGGCGTCATTTGAATTTGAATTTGAAGAGGCGCAGAGGCAGCAGCATTCAGCAGCATTCAGCTCGCGAGAAGCGAGCGTCCTGTCGGCTTCCTGAGCTCCTGTTCCTGGTTCCTGTTCCTGTTCGCGTTGATCCTGTTCTGCGCTGCTGCTCACGGGTTGGAACGGCTTGAACGACGGGCGGCGGGATTGCACTTGAGTGTAACGTTTGCTTCTTTGTTGTTTTAGTGATTTTTCGGCAGTTGTTTGTGGTTTGTGCCATATGATTTTCTGAGTTCAAGCGACTCAGGCTATCTAGATGTCGGTTTCTTCGCCTGGCCAAGGGCCTTCTCCTTGGCTAGCATCTATACCGGTCAAGGATTGGCCAATTGATTCTTTTCTTTGCAGTGGGGTTATTAACGTCCCCGTGGCTTTGGTACCGACCAATGGAGGTACGATACCTATGAAGAACCCGAAGATGATTCAAATGGAGCTTCGGAAAGCCACAGCACACTTTCAAAAGATCACTGAGGTCCGGCATTTCGGTCGTGGTGGTATTTTGTGCTGCTCTGCCGATCAGGAGTGCGTCCGAGAGCTTCTCAACTGTTCCGAATTTGCAGCACAGCCGGTGAGCCCGTTTATTCCAGCGCATCTGGCATGTTCGAAAGGCATAGTCCGCGGTGTAGATACGAGCCTGACCCCTGCAGAAATTCTTGAGTTATTTTCAGTAGCAGGTGCAGTGTCAGTATACAGGTGCACGCGTCTGGTTGACAATAAAAAATCACCTACCGAATCGGTCATAGTAACCTTTGCGGGAACGATAAGACCATCTGAAATTAAAGCTTGGCCTCTTATCTATAAGGTAGAGCCTCTATCCCCTAAGCCACTGTAGTGCTTGAATTGTTGGAGATATGGCCACAGCGTGAAAGGGTGCAGATCAACTGCCAGATGTCGACTATGCGGAGAAAATCACGACAGCCGTAAGTGCACCTCGACGGAAAAGAAGTGCTGTTTATGTCATGAGGCGCATCCTGCAGACTCTTCAGATTGTGAGACGAAAGAACGAGAAGTTAAGCTGTTGGAAATTGTGGAACGCAGGCGTTGCTCCCGGAGGGAAGCTGTGACTGAATTACAAGAACGCTCGAAAGGTTACGCAAGCGTAACAGCACGACACACCACTGCTACGGATGCATCGTTAGCAAAATATATAGCAGAGGCTGTAGAGAAGGCAACGGAAAAGGCGATGGAGCGTCTTGCCAGCAGTATTATTGGAGTCGTGGCTGAATTGTTAACATCTCAGTTGACCCAAATCATTGCTTCAGTGTCTATGAAAAATCAGACTTCACAGGATTTGGAGGTTTCAAATTGTGCCGGGACAGAAAGTCCGATAGCTCCTACACGATGCGCATCTCCTAAAGCAGGACCCTCCAATAAGATACTGCGGACAGATCTAGAAACCGTATCAGATGACACTGATGAATTCACAGATATGGATGCGGAATCTCATAATTTCTTGAAGCGCGCCAGATCTCCCCTATCGAAAAAGTCTTCACAGAAATCAAAATCTAAAAAGTTCCTGTCAAAGAAAGACGTTTTGGAGAACCTCTCCAAAAAAGACTTTTTGAAGAAAGATCTTTTGGATCAAGCAGTCTCTGCGGCGGGTTTATAGAATCAAAATAGGCTCCTTAAAAGTATTACAGTGGAATTGTCGATCAATAGGGTCGGCTACCACAGATTTATTGTGTATTTCTTCGCAAATTTCCCCAGATATTATTACTTTACAAGAAACTTGGCTTACAAACAGACAAAAATTTTACCTAAAAAATTATCGCTTATTTCGTTTAGACAGACCTAGCAGAGGTGGTGGACTTGCCATTTTTATATCAACTAAATTTAGTCATAGAGCGAAGATTAACTACCTGTGCATGGATTCTAACTATGAAATTATGGTATTAGACATCACTCTGCCAGGCTGTTCCCCTTTTTCTTTTGTTAACGCATACTTTCCGGTAGGAGTACAGGACACAAGATGCTTAGATGCAATGTTAGCTTCCTGCAGGAAGGATGTAATATTAACTGGTGACTTTAATTCACACCACGTGTCTTGGGGTTTCAAGACTGATGTAAATGGAAGACGCTTGTGGGAATGGACTGTTGATAATAACTTATCTTGTGCAAATTTCCCCACTGTTACGTTTATTAGGAGACAATCAAAGTCGGCGATAGATCTGACCTTTTGCAGCTCCTCACTAAACATTTCGTCGTGGAAAACATTAGATTGCGCAACAAACAGTGACCACCTTCCTATTAGCTTTGATATTAACTTTCCCGGAATATTTTTAACTGGTAAAATTGGCTCGTTTGTAAATTATGAGCGTTTACAAAAAGACTTGAAGCCCACTTTGGTTCTTCGCAATGACATGCAGGAAGACATTCGGGCTATGAGTCTGTGTGCGGTACTGAAAAGAGCAATAAAAAAGTCAACTTTTTCAATAACTTCAGGCACAGGCGGGTCGTTTAGCCCATGGTGGAACGCTGATTGTACAAGGGGGTATAGAAAACGAAAAGCGGCGTGGAAGCAACTTATCCACAACCAATGCCCAAAAAACTGGTGTGACTATAAATACGTGGCAGCAGATTTTAAACGCACAGTACGCAAAGCAAAAGATGACTATGACACTAACAAATTTAGCTATCTTTCAAAACCATACAACAGAAAGGCGCTTTTTAGATTTTTGCGTTCCAGAAAAATGATACCACCATCAGACAATACTGATTCTTCAATTCTATCGCCTAGCGAACTCACTGAAATCTTAGAAAATGTTGCTAAAGGATTAGAAGAAAGATTCAGATCAACAATGCCAAGACACATAGTAAAGCCAATTGCAGGGGAGGAGTTCAACGAGGTGACATTAGCGGAACTAGCGGGTGTAGTGAGGCACTTACCTCCTACAGCACCTGGACCAGATGGAGTAACTTCAGCAATGATAAAAGTACTATATGACATTTCCCCACATGAACTCTGTAATATGGTTAATTACTCTTTGAAAACTTCTTGGATACTGGCGGATTGGAAACTTTCCAAAATAATTCCGATACTTAAAAAACAGGGGCTTGGGTATACACTTGACAATGTGAGGCCAATTTCTCTTACATCTAATTTGGTTAAACTAACTGAAAGAGTTTTGAATGCACGTGTGATAAAATACATTGAGGAGAAATCAATATTGAACCCCAGTCAAATTGGTTTTAAATCGGGATGCTCCATATGGTGTGCGCACGCGGATTTGGAGAGTCGTATACAGTTGGCTAGGCGTAGAAGAGAGTATTGTGCATTAGTTACTCTGGATTTGGCCAAGGCGTATGACAAAGTGGAGCATAAAATACTAATAGAGCAGATGGAAAGGTCACACTTACCAAAATACATGACATCATGGGTAGCAGAGTTTTTAAGGGAGAGAGAGTTTTATTGCTTTCAAAGGGGTTGTTTTTCTAACAGATATCGACAATACCGTGGCGTACCACAAGGTGCAGTGCTCTCACCGGTGTTGTTTAACATCTTCCTCAGTTCGATTCCAACACATAGCGATATTCATTTATATGTTTACGCAGATGACATTGCTTTCTTTGCGACAAACAGTGATCTGCAATTACT